TAATGTTACCAAGACCTTTACAGTGCTCGAACTCACCTCAGAATATTTTTCAGTCGGTGGTTCAATCCCGTATGTTTTCCAATACTCGGAAATACACCATCGACGGAACGCCCAAGGCTTCTCACTTTTCGTTTGCCTTGCATTATGCATCGCCAATATCCTGAGAATATTGTTCTGGTAAGTAGCAATTGTTCAGTAACTGTTCATATGAATTAAACAGCTCAACATATGTATTGATCTTCAAGTTACTAGTAAATAACTCTAATACGAAGTTCGCAATTAATTTCATTTACCTACAGGAGCTTGGACTCGGGTGATGTGCCACGAATAACCGAGTTAGTCGCTCCTCCCTACTCCCTTAATCCACATATTGAGCCTCGCCACGACAAAGTCTTCAGGAAGGCAACCTTCCCGTACACAGGGGAAGAAGGAGCAAAGAAAGTCGCGTTACTCGCAACGCGCAGTTTACGTAGCCCAGGCCGAAGAGATGAGTGAAGGACCCGTGCTGAAAGTGGGATGTTCCTGAATTTTTCCCTGATAAACAAAAGCAAGTGTTCCACCGCAGCTTCCGTCGTCGCGGTAGGGTAAAGCCATCCCGATGAGGTAAATAAAACCGAAGAGAAGGAGTGTTCACTTCAGTGGAAAGCGACCACCCCTTCTTCTTAGGTCCTGTGATCAGGCGGCACGTGCGCATATTTGTAAAAGGAGTGTCGTTTTCCTGATCAAACACCGTAATCGCTCACAGCCTTGCTGCTGTTATGATTTGTTTTTCATGACTCAACTCCTTGGTCTTTAAACACCCTTGGGATTCTGAGCAGGTCGGTTTGACGGATCCTGAAGGCATCATTATTGAGTAGGAATAAAGTATTATATCCATTTCTAACGCCACTAATGTTCTTAAGTGCGATGCAGCGCTGCGCTTGTAAGCAGAATGTCTTTTTGCTTATCCTATAGAGCTCCTATAAAGTCTCCAGCTTTCTCAGGAGAGTAGGCACAAATTTCAAAGGGTGATAACGAATAAATTGTTCCTCCATAGAAAATTGGGGAATATATTATTCATGCTCACAAATGACGTGCCGACTGCCTTAGAGGTGTAAGAGGTGAATTCTTTAACTGGAGGTGGATGTATTTCACGAACTGAAATTCGCTTTGGCGTCAGCTCGGTAACCGAGGTCCATGGGCGATGAAGAAAGTGTCGAGAAAGTGTCCTCTCTACTGGTGCCAGTTGTGCCGCTAGCTATGCTTCCATACCTCTATCACCTCGAGTTCCTCTCTTTTCTCAAGCGGAAACACTAGGCGCTGATGGACTGAGAGCTGAGGGGGGGGGAGGGAAGCAGTGTCTGCGCTTGCTAGTCTATGCCGAACAATGGGTGAAAATGGGCGTTTGTTTTGCGACGAGGGGAGGGGGGGGGGCAGGGAATTTCGGCAATTTCAACGACTTCGGCATCGGCCGTGTCGTCCTATCTATAGATAGACAAACTCCTTTTACGATTGGCTGGACGACCCTTGCTCGCTTACACAAGACCCGCCTCACATTTCACCAAGAGAGACTTTGTAAACAGCAAATATTGGAAGGCAAAAGAAAGTGCAAAATCGCCACCAATCCCCCCTGTCCCGTCGGCAAATTGCGCCAGTAAACATCATAAACCATGGCTGCGAAATGGTACAGTAGAGCCAATTCGGTTACAGGAATTGTCAGATTTTCACATGATGGTCTTATAAGCTATCACTGAAAGGCCCATTTATCCCCTTTCAATCGCCAACTGATCCGAAAGTCTTATCGTAAGAAAAATGTCCGCGGCCTTTAGCATCAGCGCAGAGAAATCTCAGTATAGAATTTTAAACCTGTGCCGCATTCACTCTAGTATGTCCCCACCCTCCCTAAGATTTTCTTCTCCTCCATGTGCATTCTTCATACTTGCCGCGCCCTTGCTACCCTTTAATCTGAATGAGATCTACTATATATCAATCCGCTAAGTTTGTCTGTTGGTGTGTGTGCTGTGTGTGTGTGTGTGTATGTGTGTTTGACCGGAAATTCATAACTTCCTTCAAAAGAGTGATAGAGCGCTCAAACTGATAAGTCATGTAGGGGGTCGTGCAGGAACACTATTGGTGGGTGGCAGGAAGTGATAAGAGCTGATAAGATACCGCGAGCAGCCTCATAAGGGGAGGATCACCAAATTCATAGGCGCGGGCCACCGCAAAAACGATTGAGACAAACCTTGGTTCCAGAAGTAAAGTACGGGGCCAGGATGGAATCATTATTGTGGAGAAGGAATTGATAACAGCTGATAAGCATATTAACGGATGCCTCAGAAAGAGTGGGTTACCTAATTCATAACACCGGCCAGAGCAACGACCAGACGTTGGATACAAGTAGTAAGATAGGGGGCAGGATGGGAACATTATTGGTGGGTGGCAGGAACTGATAACAGCTGATAAGATACCATAAGGAGCCTTAGAAGGGTAGGGACACCTAACTCACAACGTCGAACAGCACAACGGGACATCGGTTTCAAGAGGCAAGATAGTGTGCAGGATGGGACCATTATTGGTTTGTGGCAGGACATGATAAAATAAGATACCCCGAAAATTCACAGCAGAGTTGTTCTGCACACTTGTGGAACTGCTCCAGCAAGTAATTCAGGGGTGCTCAGAGAATATTAAAGGTGGGAGTTAAATTCTGTCAGTGCCCGACAACGCTTTTGGGACTCCGTATATGCTCACATCATCGTGGCCAAATTTCTATTCCTAAGAATTCCTACGCGAGTTTAGCGGTCGGAATTGCTTCCACCGCTAAACGCTCGAGTTTCACCGGAAAGGGAATTGTTTGCCAGTGAGGAATGATAAGAGCCACTATGATTTCGACTTTTTTATCATCGAAATTCCTCCCACCGCTATGCTGTCCTATCCTCAACGAATGGTGCTTTCAGAAATATGATAGGCACCAAACACTGGCAAATGTTCATTAAAAGTGGAGAAACATGATGAAATGGGTCGTCCTCGAAACATGAGAATTAGGCTTAAGGTTTGGTTGGTCTCAGACAAATCCTGTCATTATGTTAGTTACCATTCTTTAGGTTTAAAGTACCATCGCGCGCAGTTAAGATGCGCGTCAGCCAGACTGGTTGATTATCATTTGAACCCAGTCATCTTCCATCCGGACGTTAGTGACTCTCCATTCAATGAGCATTTCAATATTTTCGTTTTCAGGTTCGGCAAACGATTCGATCTTGCGTTGCTAGCGCAAAGTATCGTGATGTTCATTTGCATGATCTTCATGCTGGAGATCGCCGTTCGAATGAACAAGAAGCACACACCGAAATCTCAACAGAAATCAATCATGAGTAAGTCCTTTTCAGATTTATCACCTGAAAATGGCTAACGGGTCCTACTGGGATGAACCCGCATCCTTTTTTCATTAGGCTGTGAAGGGCACGATATACAGTGTGTCACTTCCCCTTGCCCTCCAACCAACCTCTGAGCGAATAAGAGACTTCGGCAATTATTTGGTGTTGTCACAGAGCTGAATTGTGGCATAGGTCGAAGCAATCCATAGAATGGCATTTAATTCGCCAAATTCGTGGAGAAGTAGGTGTATGTCGATGCCTCATGCTTAAATCCCTATAGCTTCCTATCGGAAGTGCTTCTCAAATCAACCCAGTTTCTGTAGCCATTTCGTTAGCGTGATGCGCTACGACGAAAACACTACGAGTTCGATTTTGAAGCGGGAGCTATTGCTCTCGCACAGCAAGCAAGACCGAAGTGGCTCAGCTCAGGCCTGTCTGTGGGTGCAGAGGGTGTGAATTAGTTGGCACAACGTTGGCCCAACTGGCATGTCATTGTACAAACCCAACACGAAACCAACTATCTTGACAAGTCTGCAAGCAAGTCGAATGCGTGACGTATCCGAAAGAGAAAAGGAGTGGTTTTGGACTCAAAATACTCTTCTTTTTGAGTTGCGAATACCTCAAATGTCATGCAGCAGTCATTTTGGAATGGGATGACTTTGGCCATGATCAGGCGTCATGGATGACTTTGGCCATGATCAGGCGCCATCTATGTGGGCCTTAGAGGGGGAACTTGCGATCAGCTCGATATAGTAACAAGTAAAATCTATCCTTTAGACTTCAATAGAACTTGCCGCAAAAGACAAAACGCGCGTGGCGACAAGATCGTATCCCGTGTTTCCCTTCTGCTCCGCGTAATAGACCTCTATCCGCTGCTGTGAAAGCGATATATGCTGTGAAGAGGAGGGCTTAGGAGGGGTTAGCTCATCTTTTGGTCGGATATCAGTGCGAGTGTTGTGTCGTCGTCGTAGCATTCCGCATGCCAACGCCTGCATTATTCAACGCCACCACTACGCAAAGCGTGCGAATTCACTTCTTTCTCTTCACCGCGTCGTTTTCTCACCTCTCCTCCTCCCCATCATTCCCATGCCGTCGTCTTCCACATCTCTCTTTCTCTCCCGATCTTCCCAATCATTTTTCTTCCCCTCAGATGCCAATCTCATCTACTCACTTCCTGATCACTCCAGTGGGCGTTCGTTTGGGGACAAGAGCGGTATCGGTTAGCAAAACGGCATTCACGTTTAAGCTGAAATCCAAATTTTCAATAGAAGTCTTTATTTTGCATGAAAAAAATCCAAAGGTACACATATACAGCCCATAAGGATTCAAATACACGTAATGGGATGAGAAGAGAAGTGAAGTCTTCTCCTTACACGCAACTGAGGTGAGCTGAGTAAGTGATGAAGAGATCAGAGTACAGCTTCCGTTGTGTCACAGAAAACTTTGACCAAACAAGCCGAGTTGTCCGATTGGGCGGACTTGCATTCGCCGTTGGACGCAACTGCACTGGACGAGTCCATCTCGGCGATTGGCAGCATGTCCAGCGACGACGTCCGCAGTGGGGGCAGATCGGACAGACGTCGCGAGGTCTCGTTGTAGGTGGTGAAACCGTTGGATTCGCTGTAATCCTGCTGCGCGTCCTCGTCTTCTTCGATTATGATCGGTGCATTCGTCGCGTCACAGACCTTCAAGGGCAAAATGAATCAGTCAGGGAATACAAAAAGAAAACTGACACCATTACCTTTTTTTGAAGCCCGAACACTGCTGGTTCAGTTTGGCGTCGTTTTTGGGTGCTTCTGGAGTTGAGCAGAGAATTTTTCTTATCATGAACTTCGAACGAGCGATGTCGTGTTTTATGACGGGGACGATGACCAGTACGGGACATCCGCTGCATGATTCGGTCAGGTGGTGCAGGGAAAATCTTTGGAAGACATCTGTGGGCGAACTGCCAAGTGGGTGCCACGAGTCGCAGCGTCGATTTCTTGAACTCCTTAACTGTGAACGAATAGATGATCGGGTTCAGCATTGAGTTGCAGTAACCTGTATAAGAGAGATCAAACAGTGCATGAAAAATTTGGTTAATGGTGAAATGGAATTCGAATGTGACAATTAATTTCTCCTCTTCTTAAAGGGTTTCCTGATAAGGAGTCGTTCTAAATTAAAATTCTCCCTTCCTTAGAGATCGATTCGAAACCCACGCACTGCTTGTTCCCAGAGCCGTCTCCCTAGAGGTTTTTCAGAATTCCCCAAATTCAAGCTGGTCACGTAGCGGCTTACAGTTTTTTTCAGATGCCAGGGGTTGGAGGGAACAAAACTGCCCCTACTCAGTACTTTTTTATGGCTAGCAGATGCCCGGTCTCAAATTAGGGAACCCTAACGGTCACATTTTGTGTGAGGCTTCAAATCAGTGACATACCTAACCAACTGGTAAGGTCGATGGCGATCGGCGAGATGCATCCTTGGCATTTGTAATCTGAAATGCGAGTGCTTCTTCATGTTCACATATGTGTGTGCTTGTGTGCTGAGAGTGAAAGTGGGCGAGGACTAAGCGAATCAATCGCGCTCTTCTCGCCTCACGCTCGCTCTCTTTTCATTCGTTCCACCGGTAATCACATAATAGAGCCGTCGCGTTTACATATGCTGTCCCCTACTTACTCGCCCAAAACCGCATACGACGGGGCGTGCTTTGAAAGTGGATGACGCTTCTTGAACTTCTGGACAGAGGGAGCATCACCAAATGACGAATCTTTTCGGAGCAAAAAAAAAAAGCAGCAGCGGAATTAGTTTAGATTTGTTCATGTTTGGAGTAAGTGGTTCCCTTGCAAAAGTAACACTCGAGAATACTTACTTGTCAAGTAGAGACTGAAGAATGGTAACCAGCAGAAGAGAAAGGAACACGAGACGACACCAAGAGTCTTCGCGATGCGCTCATGCGTCCGTAAAACTCGACGCTGATGCTCCACCATGCCGCTGTTCTTCCCAAAGTGGACCCGAAGCGTGTCGGATGACTGGAAAATCGTTATTACTTCAAAAAATGTGGGCGACGTCCACGATGGCCCACAGCGGTGATCCATGCAGCCGATTGGACGTTTGACGCGGCGCGTTGGGAGCGCAGTCAGGGCAGCCTTGTTCCAACATTGATGTCATCCTGAGTCCGCTACAACTGGAGAAAAATCTGCTCTGCCTGCGCTCCAAGCAACGTCGATGTTCTGGGAACTATCGTTTTCGGGGATAACGACTGTACCTGTTGGCTGATAAGTGTTTGAGAGGAAGTTCATGTTGTGTCCGAGAATCATAAGAAATCCCCTGTCCAGAGCTCGTTGTCGATTTCGGGCAAGTTTGTAGATACGCCAATAGAGGGTGAGAGTGACCGAGGCTGGCAGAAAAAAGGCGAACACCACACTGTGTGCCAGATAGCGAATTTCGTTCCCAGCAAAACAAATTGACTGAAATTGGATGGTTTCGCATGTTCACAGCGTTGACGAAATACAGTGATAATACTTATCAGTGATATGTATGAATAGAAATTGGAAGGGAGTATCTGGTCGATAGAGAAGAAGTGAAGTTGGTATTAGATAGTCACTCATGATCACTGGTCATGATCAGGAAACGCGCGATCAGATCGGCACGAAGACGGCTAGTTGCACGGTTGGCAGCTGGAATTCCCTCGCAGGCTCGGTCGCGGAAATCGCGAGAATGCCCTGACAAAAAAAGAGGGCGTCGTCGACAATCCCTGCTTCTCTGGGATTGAATGTAGTTTTATCCTTGAGGTTTGAGCTTCCCCTAACTCAAATTCCTTCTCAGAAAGGTATGTCCCAGAAACCAAAGTTAGTCCATAGTGTGCACAGAATGGGAACCGAATTCATCCATTCCATGATCTGGCCGACTGATTCACTAATCGATGAGCGGTTGGCTCGCAATTTTCTGAGTGAATGATTCCCATCAAAAGACAAACTATACACTGGCTTTCGTGAATCCCGGTATTTACTAGTGTAGGGTGAATGATTCTTGAAGCTACAGTAGCGCGCCACTTTCTCTGGTGAAAAAAGTGTTCAGGGACGGGTTGGAGGGTGGTGATACCTTGGGCGCCTCTTCACACTCCAGCCGCGCTTTCGCAGAGCCAACCGTACGCCTAACCATAGCCAACGCGCTGCTTATCTGCATCCTCTCAGTTCTCGTCTTCTCCACTTTTGACTTCGTGTTCACGGGCGTCTCAGGACCCTTGTCAACCGTGGAGCCTATATCCTCTTCCCTTTTTTCTTTCTCCTTTCCTCCCCCTCCCCTTCCTTCCCTCTTCTTCCTCCTTTTCCTTCTCACTTTCAATAATACTACTGGACCTTCTCAATGAGAGCATGTTCGGTTGACAAGAGTCCTGAAGCTCAAGTCAGAATCACTACACTACAGCCCCGTTCCCGTGCACTCGAAGAAAGTGGTACACTACTGCATCTGCGCATTCATTCGCCTCACACATGGCAAGAACTGTCCTCGAAGAAGTATGTACAATTTGTTTTCAATGCTAGAACGCAAAGGAATGACTCTACGGCGAATTTAACCCGTCACATAGGAAGTTTATAGGCTGTCCGGAGGAATAATCATGAGAATTCTGAGAAATAGACATAAACGTCAAAATAATTGCTGAAGGAATATGTCAAAAAATGGAAAACACACATCATCATAGCACGGCGGTTGTTCCCATCGAACGGTAGTAAGCAGTATAGACGATGAAAATGTCCATATGATTATCATAACAAGTATAACTTTGGTCTTTGTCACCAAAGATTTGTAGCGAAGTGGTCGTGTCACGGCCAGATATCGATCTACCGAAATCACGCAGATGGTCACCTGAAAGTTCAAATGATTTGCTAAGTTTAGGAACAGTCGTATGACCTTAAGGTGTCTTGCCCAAGAGAATGATAGGATATTTCATGCATTTATCTGCACTGTAGCTGATTACACCACCTGAACAGATTAGTGCTGTAGTTGGGAACGGGCCTTGTTCTCCTCATGCTTTTGGAGATACCTTTTCATGCGAAGAGTCAATGCTAACAAAGACTTTTTTGTCGATTGGCCGCTCTGTGAGCTTGTGACCCGCGGGAGATAACCGAATAAACTCAGGCTTTCAAACGCGAGTGCTCAGTGCTCGAGAACTTCACCGATGAAAAGAGAAGACTTCATGTGAGCTGACGCAGCTGGGAGCCATGCACTTTTCGATGAGGAAATCGCTGTAACTGCAAGCTAGAATTGCTACTACAGTACCCGATATGGTTATAGTTGAAGGAGTCTCTATGCGAAGCACAAGCGAGAGCATAGAAGAATCATTATCACTTCCCAATTTGAGGGTTTTTAGAGCGCTTTAGAAAATTTCAAGGAGTCTCAATGTGTTTTCACAAGAATATCTAGGAGCTTAGTAAGCTACGAGCAGCATTTCGGATAGGGCTCTTATAAAGCATAGCCATCGATCTGGCGATTACGGATAGGGCTCTTATAAGCATAGCCATCGACCTGGTACTTGAACGGGAGCAACAGAAACACTTCAAGTCGCCCAGGCTCATGAAGGGATTGAGGATCAAGTGGCAAAGTGCAGAAGCTCCTTGCCAGCTAGGAGGCTGCTGATCTAGTTACTGAGAATAAATCCGTGATACTCCTTGTCCTTAAACGTCCAGCCAAATCTCAGCGATCTCCGCCAAGACAAGTTCCGTAACTGGTCACTATTTAGAAGCATTTCCGTTTTGGTTTGTCTGGAGTTTCGAAACGCCTCGATACGGGAACTCTCAAGCTTATCTGGGGATCTGTAGTGTTGTGGACATTGATTTTTTTTCCAACAAGCATGAAGTCAGGCTTGGAAACATCGTGGGAAAAAGTCTCGTAAGCCATCAAAAGGAACGATTAATATAAGCAGGCTTACCACGGAACAAGTACAGAAAGTGACGTCAGCAGCCACCCAGACTCTGCATAGAAACCTCCCGAATATCCACTTTCGATAGGCAAGATGGAATGCGCCGAGTGGTAGGACGATAACACCGACGAGGAAATCGGTAAGGCCGAGGTTCCACACGAGAAGTGTCGTGTTCGTCCGGCCAACTCGAGCTTTGAAGAATAAAACAAGCAGATTACCGAATACAGTCAATAGAATGATAATAGCCATAGGAATACAGCAAACAATAAGTAAACTAGTCGGCAATGCCAACGGTGCAGGACCGTATTCAGCCAAACGACGTAGCTGAAATGCGTCAAGGCTGAAAACTGGGTTGTCACGACGGCATTCTGTTCATGCTCACCTGCTCGCGACAGTTTTCTGATATATTGTAGTCGTCAAAATCGAACCCCTTATCGAGCATTGGTCTTGCCCTAGAAAGGAAGAAAAACTGGTAAGTTGGATATGAAAGGATGGCGATGAGATGAGAACAATAATGTATAGCGTGTGGGTTCTTTATAAAGAACTTTTAAAAATGGTTGTGAGCCGCCGAGATCAAAGATGCTAAGCAAGTAGGAGTTAGTGAAGAAGACGTTGCTGGCCTTGGCGCGCGATGTGTGCACCACGGAGATTGGGCGGGCCCTAAGGAGGCGAAGAGTATGCTGAATACGTGCGGAGGTTAAGAGATCGCCGCGATTCGAGGCGCGTGGATGAGATTTGGGAAGTCCCCAAAAAACCTTGTTGACCTTGTTCTTTGTTCTGCTCGACTGGTATGGTCTTTCACTCGGAAGCTCATGATATTCAAAAGAAAATCACAGTCTATGTTAAATGGGCGCAGTTCGGCGACGGATGGACGTTTGCACTTTCACTACTTTAGTAGTCCGTTTACAAGTCTCACTCTGGTGAAACCTGTGAACTCTTGTGAAGCTGGAGCAAGCTCGTCTAGCCACCATGGTAAAACCTGTCAACTCAAGAAAAGGCTGTCTAGATGGGTCGACATGTCGATGGAAAGTAGCAACTGCCCCCCTCCCCCCGTCGCCGAACTGCCTCGCTAAATGCTCCGGCTTGGGAAAAGGTGTAAATGCTGTGCAAATTCTGCATGTACATATCGCGAGCTAGAGCTTGAGCGTAATCTGTTGATTTCGCACAACACGTCGTCTCCCACGGGATACACGCCAATCACCTTGTCAACCGTGATTCGTTAGCGTTGATTGAATGGTGTTCAAAAGATGCGTGAGATGTTTAGCGAAAACTGAGCGTTCCCAAGTGCCCAACATGGTTGTAGAAGGGACTCGCTGAACACGTTTTCAGTTCTCTCTAATCTAACTAGCCCGATCAACTTTTTTCGAGAGCAGTCAAACAGTTTCGACACTGCTAGTGAGCTAATTTTATACGATTTTTGCATGAAAAGCGCAACAGCTCATTGATATTGATCACTTGATCCGGAGTGCGCCATGCATTTGGACTTTGGACCTTGGTTTCCAAGTATATACTCTTCACTTTACAAATCGCAACGGGCGAACAGCTATCCCATAGTCCGATAGGATCGTTAGGGAAGAAAACAACGCAATTATCGCTCAACTGAAGCAATTAGCCGAAAGGTTCAACAACAACCAAGAAGGAAGGTAGATAGATGTGTTTCTTTTCAGTGAGGAGCCTTCTGCGCCAACTTAGATATCCTTGAAAGAAGGTTGGAGCGAGTATCTGCCGCCGAAGTACTGTATGAGTATGACCGACATGAAGCGTCGTCCTATGCTTGTTTTGGGCTCTCCATTCGGGCTTGTCTTGCTGGATTATCCCTTCCCTCATTCATGTATTTCCCTCAGTCACATCCTGCTGTCACTACAGATTTTCCAAGTGCTGATTGGGTAATTAGCCAGCTCATAGCCGCTCATTGATCGCTTTTTTCAATTGCAGCGGGTGTAGCTCTATGGCTAAAGGGTTTTATAGCATTAACAAAGTCTATAGTTCTGCGTTACACCCATGGATCTGATTCTCGTAAGATTAAACGGAAGAATGAGTGAGGTCAAGTTAACATACACCCAGCAATTGACTAGGAAATGTCAAGTGCACGGCGTAGACCCAAGCTCGGCTGATGCCAATCCAGAGATGTTGGGTCAGGTGAAAAGCCTTCTGGCGGACAAAGTCAACACTGGAGGATTCGTCCAGGATTAATTTTGTCCCCTTTGATTCAGAAGGGTAATTAACTTGAGCCTCCGAAGATTGAATAGCTCCATTCAATTAAAGTTTTGGCTTCTTCATCTTCGTCACAGCGTGGACTATCTTAAAATGAATGGAATGCTTTCTAAAATGCCTCAACGACATCGAAAATACTCCGTACCCTACTCAACTGAGATTACGATAAGTTCACCCAAAGCATTTGGCCAAGGTAGGCCAAGGTATTTGGTAGCCAACTTTGCGCCATGACAAAGTTGAAGTCATTTTGTCTTCAGGGTTATTAGGGTGTTGGGGAAACCAAATTCCAGTCGTTCTTGATTCTGTCAGGTCTGACGAAAGCGGAAAAGCCGAAACTTGAAATTTCGAGTGGAAAAAGTTATTCAATTTGGAATGGCTCATTAGCTGTCCACCCGAATTCCATTCTTGTTTCCGTTCTCTCGAACACCAACTTGTTTCCATATTTAAACCCCTTTATGTTCTGTGCTAGAGGCACACTGTACGATTATCTGAGAGGTAGACCCTTGTGGAAGATAGGAAGGACCGCAGCGGAAGAACTGTAGCAATCTCGCTGCTCGAAAGGGTGCGAAAATAAAGCTCGATGCTTGGGATAGTTCCTTGTTCGATATGTCTCCACCCGCCCCATGGATGCGGGTACGCACGCTACAGTCACGTCATGCGCGACACGGTTGACCTTATTCCTGACTCTAGCCACATGGCGCTTGACTGTAGCCTCAGGTGTAGGGATAGCTGTATTGCACGGATTCGGCGTGCTTATCGCTTATCGATAGTTGGCGGAGATTTCGCTGAATCACTGTGCACTTTCAAGTGGCGGGAGTGCCACCTTTTTACGACTTTCACGGCTGATGTCTTGCGCAGCTTCTTGATAATTGTGTTCGGTGCTTGACAATTCTGCTCAACCTTGGGTGCGAAAGGGTTGTTACTTCTCGTCTGGTGAGGTTCATAGAGCTGCACGTTAAGCAGTGGTGCACTTGTCGAGGTGGTAATCAAAACTTTGTTTTCCTGAACTTTCGCCCAGCGGAACCCCTGAGAGCAGTGCCCAACGGGCGCACTCGATTGTCATATATTGCGGACCTGATAGAGACAACAAGCTGGCGCAGTCACCCTCGCAGTCTGTCCCTTCTTCCTTCGACTCTGGGCTCGTCGGTTGCTGTAAGACCAACCGACTCGAGAGTGAAGGAAGGCAAGCTGACCCAGAAAAGACAGAACTTATTGTCTTTACTTTCCAAGCAGCCCCGACCGCTACCCTTGGGGCTGTCATCCAAGAACTAATAATGAAGAAAACTCGTGGAAAAATTTTTCAGGAGGTGATTTTTTTGGATCATTCTGGGCATGGCACGATCTGACAAGCTATCTCATCACCTTAACGGCGTTCACCACGTTCTGGTCTATGGTGACAATGCTAATGATACGGGTAATTCTTTAGAATTATTATTTATTACTTCGAATACTCCTTACTCATGGTTAGGAAAACATCTAGAAGAGCACAGTTTCAGTTTCAATGGTATGTGGAGGGGCTTGGCATGGTCTCGTTGCTGGTAGAAGCCAGTTTAGGAGCGCCACAATTAATTCGGAATTGTCAACGGAAATCCACGCAAGGAATGAGGTCAGTTTAGTCTTTATACCTTTTCTTAAACATTTTATGCTTTGATGGTACTGAAAAATGCTACCCAACTGAGCCTTGCAGCGAGCAAGCCCAGAATGTATTCGTACGAAATGGATTAATGATGATGTGGTCGAAAAGGGCAATTCAACAACCTCGTCCTTGTGCTTTACAAGCTGCCTTAGGCGATCTTCCCCGACATTCCTTCGAATTCGCAACACCATGAATTTGTGAGGATTTCAAGTTGGAGAGTGGTTTGTGCCAGTGACGCTCAAAGGCAGAGCCTGCGTTGAAAAATGATGAGTTATGCGACTTAGATAGTAATAACAGGGTAGCAAGTGATAGGGTTAGTAGTGAAGAAAAGCGGAGGAGAATCATAGGGAAATGCCCTATATAGTACCCCATGCCGGACTGAGGCGAGCTTTCACCTGTTCGTGTCTGCTCTTTCTCCTTATCACTCTACCTCACCATGCAAAATGGAGGGTTAGAAGCGGGACGACCGCACCAGCAACCAGCAAGTAACAGTCTAGAATGAAAGTTGGGCCTTGCGGCAATTCCTTCACGAGTGGGCCACTGTTTCTTTTTGTATTTTTGAGCTGCAAAATTATAACACTCTCCACCATTGTAAGGAAGGCTACCATATCTAAAAAAGCGTGGGAATCATCGCGGGCTCTGCTCTCAAGTCACTGATTTACGAAGAAGCGACCTTACAACCGAACAGCGAAAAACATCAAAGTGTGGAGGAAAACAAAGACCATTTAGTTTTCCCTGTAGCGTTTCGTAGCATATGAATAGAAACTATATATTAGGTTGTCCGGAAAGTTCTCAGCGTTTTGTGTTACTATTTTTTGTACATTCATTGCTGATTAAAAACTCATTCTCCCTTGCGTCTCAGTAGTACATCCTGAAGAGAATTTTCTGCACGTTTTGTGTTACTATTTTTTGTACATTCATTGCTGATTAAAAACTCACTCTCCCTTGCGTCTCAGTAGTACATCCTAAAGAGAATTCTTTGCGCTATCTGATGGTATAACTGCCGCTTGATTGACGCCCTTTTTTCAAGACTTTTTGAAGCATGTCAAAAGAGCAACTTTATTTTCTTCGACTATAAATTGGGGCAATCCGCAATCGAAGACAGCTCAACAAATTAACCAGGTGTGGGGGCCCAATAGTGCTAGAGAAAGCACCGTGCGGCAATGGTTCAACAAATTTCGTTCTGGAGATTTCAGCCTTGAAGATGAACCTCATAGCGGTCGACCTAAAGCAATAACTGACGAGGATTTGAAGGCGTTTGTGGAGGCTGACCCATCCCAAACAGTTCGAGAGATAGCAGAAGAGCTAGGCCTTGGCAAATCCACTGTTGCAGATGGTCTGGAACGCATTGGGAAGGTGAAAAACTCGACAATTGGGTGCCCCACAATCGGAGTGACCGGCAGGAATCGGCACGTCTCGAGGTTCCTTCTGCATTGCTTTTGCGCAGGGCAGCGTAATTTTCAAAGGCCGAACCCTCACGAAAAAAGATTATGGTCACACTGTTGGTGTTACGGCATGGGTGTGATCCAGTATAACTTTTGGATCACGCAGGCAAACCATCAGAGCAGAACCGCTAATTGTGGAGGAAGTCGACGGAATTGGTACCGAAATTTGTGCACGCTGGCAGCCAACACTTATCAAAAGAAAGGGTCCGATTCCTTTGCATGACAACGCCCGCCCACACGTTTCACAAATCTATCCATAAATTGAACGAATTGGGGGTTGAAGTTCTACCTCAACCGCCATATTCTTCAGACCTTTCGCCAATCGACTATCACCTTTTCAAACATTTTCAGAACTCCCTTGCTGGAAAATACTTCATCAATCAGGACCAGGCAAAAAAGCCTTCGTGGATTTCGTGAATTTTCGACCACCCAGTTTTTTACTTTGATGGGATTTCTCGACTGTCACATTGGCAAAAGTGTGCTGATTCGAATGGTGCTTATTTGGATTAAATCCGATGAGTGTTAAGAAAGTTATGATCGTTTAAAGTGAAACACTCGAAACGTGCAGAACTTTCCGGACAACCCAATACAAGAGGAAGTCAAGACACAGTCGGTTATTGCTCCATATAAAAGAGGTAGATGGGGCCTCAAAAGCAAACGGTATACTGAATTGGTGTTACGAGAAGAAGAACGACGAACAAAATGAACACCCTGTGAAGCCCGTAGGTTGAAACCGTTGTAAGAATGGCGAAGAAAAGAGTGAGCATGAAAGAAGAAACAGACGATGAAATGGCGAGAAACTGCGCAGGCGAGCAAGTCTGCACGATTGGGAAACCGAGTGAAAGAAGGGTGGTTAACCTTCAAACTTCTTGATGCCCGGATTATGGGATTTTGTTCAATTAAGAACAGCTTCGGGAAGTGAGGGAAGGTCTGAAATCCTCGATCCCTGCTGAGATTTCTTTTAGTTTTCAAAGAAACGTAGTGCAATGAAATGGTTTCGCACTGGCAACATTGAAAGAAGAGAAGTTTCCATCATAGTCCAGAAACTAACACAATTTTGAGTGAAATAGGATGGGCAAAAAAAAGTAGCTCGAGGCAGACAGAAAAGACGAGAAATCTATTGAGGAGTGTGGCTCAGCAATGGGCTGAAGGCCACTTTTTCCCTTCGAGTCTCAGCGCTCTTGATCTCTCCTTTTCTTCGGAAAACACCTTAGAACGGAGTGAAGTAAAAGTAATTTAATCACTGACGGCAGTGCTCAACGGGTGCGCTCAATTTTAGCTTGTTGTGGACCTTATAGGGACAACAAGCTGTTGCAGTTACCCTCGCATTCTGTCCCTCCTCCCTTCGAGATTGTAAAATCCCGAACATTATTTGTTTTCTATATTGATAGTCATCGACTCGGAAAACCATCTAACAAAACTTATTACAGTATACCTATGGTATCAGCGTGGCTTTGCGGAGATCTCGCTAAAACAGGATATTTTGTGGCCACTGGTAGTCCCGTTCAATTCTGGGTATGCGCTATATTGCAGGTTGGTTATCTTTAGTTTCTTTACTTCTGTTTTGAGTTGTACGACACTGGCCGCGTGCGTTTACGTCGCAGCCGGCCGCTTCAAGCACAGCTTTTGACGAGTGATACTTTCAGATCTCAATCGATGTATTCATACTCGGGCAAGTGTTCGTGTATCGGAAGAACACTGACCCTTCTGAATTGCCCTACAGTTCGAGTTCTCCAGCGCATTCCGTTATTGACTAGTTGCTTTTGTTGCAGAGGCGAAGCATAGTGCCATGTGTTATGATTTCGCTTCTCGTTTCAGCGCTTTTAGCGCCAATGGGCGACACCCTCGGATCGAGCGCCCGTCTCGACATAATAGTCGCTCGACTTCATTGACTTGTTGTGTTCTTTGTTGTCTTCTCTGTTTTTACTGATCTGAACTAAAGATGATTCCTCAACGATCAAGTCTACTTATCGCCTGATCGTATTTCAAGCTAAGCAACCAAAAGGATCCTCATCAATGCCTGAGGCGGACTTCCGATTTTCGGTTTTCACGTACAAAAACAATCGGGTCCTGGCTTTCTGAGGATTTGACGGAAGTGCGACCATCAGTTCTGTTAAGTTCGTCCGGTTTCATTAAATCTGACTTACTAGAACTTCGTAGTTTCTGTCGTGCTGTTCGGGGTAGACTCTGTACTATTCATAGGTATTAATTTTCCGCGTACGCGACCGTAGTCGATCCCATCAATGACGACAATCAGTCCCTTCACTTGCACCCAGTGGGTACCATGAAACATAAGTTTGGTTTGGAACAAGTGAGATTACATTCCTTTGGTTAGACTTCAAGTTTTAACCTCCAAT